ATGCTATGAGCCAGGGAGATGCTATGAGCCAGGGAGACTTTAACCCATGGTGTAGCTAGGAGGCGGCTCCCCTTTACAGCGCTTGCCTGTGTAAGAGCTTGGAGATGGTTGGAACCTCGCCTGCCGGGACCAACTATGGCAGCAAAAAAAGGCTGGAAAAATATGGGAGTTCTGGCACGTGTAGCCGATTTGGGAGGAGTCGGAAATGGGGTTGCAGAAGATTGTCGTGGGGATTAAAACCCAGGCGGGGGCTAGCCACAGGATTTGGGGAATTCTTCACCACCGGCTCAGAGAGCAGGAAATCAAGATGTAGCAGACACACAGAGCCCTCTCTTAGTGGCTGGGAAGAACACAGGAGAGACAATGCAGGAAGGAAAGGGGTGAAAGGACTCTTGCTGGTGGGCCATAAGAAGGTGCCATGCGGGTTTAGATTAAGAACTGGAAATCACCGCCACACAGCTGGAGGTGCTAACTGCGGGAGGCCCGCCCGCTGAGCTCAACTGAGAAGAACCCAGAGGTAGGCGAGCCACGGACTCCTACTTTTTTTTTTTTCTTTTTCCTGAGATAGGGTACCCCTGACTGGGCAAAGGGGGGAGGGAAAGGCTGTTTTGGGGTGTTTTAAGGGACTTTGGGATTTTAACGAAGACATTAAGTTATTACTCTAAATCTGTATAAATTTCGAATAAATAGTTCCTTTCCTTTTCACCAAACTCTGGCATTGAGAGCCGTAATTCCAATTTTCTGGTGGCGGGCAAAGAACCCAAAGAATACAGAGGGACCCCAGAACCCCGCGGTCTGTTCGGTAACAAGCCCTCCCCGGCTGCTGGGGCTCTGGGGCTCTTCCTTCGGAACCCGCAGGCCGGAGCGCCCCCTCCTGTTCACCAGAGGTACGTTGGGCGCTCCTGGCTCTCCGCCCCGTGTTGTAGGCTTGTTATTGCTTCTCTTCTCCAGGCAATTATTCAAAGAAAAGTGCAAATAATCACCCACATCCGTGGCCTAAAGGCTATAAATGTGTCATATTCGCTTCGAGCCTTTCGGGTTTGTTTGTTTGTTTGTTTGTTTGTTTGTTTGTTTGTTTGTTTGTTTGTTTTACCACTCACTTTTTTTAAAAAACAGCCAAACAAGCGAAAACCCCACACAACTAATACATGCTGACCTTCTAGCATTTATTTATTTATTTATGCTGTTATCGAAGTCAAGTGGACAAAATGAGACTAAATAAACAATGGAGGGGGTAGGTAGCTGCCCGGCAGGCAGTCCCGGGCGCCCACCCGCCGCGGCCTTGGCGGGCACGACCCCAGACCGCAGGAGCCTTCTCTCCAGCCTGAGTGGACCCTCTGAAAAGCCCTGAGCGACTTGCAGATTCACGTGGGGACACCGCTGACTCCGGGGGCGAGGGGCGTTCTAGCGCGGCTCGGGATTAGAAAACAGAATGCGGGTCTGGTGTAGCAGAGGAGAGAATCGCTCGCGGAAACCTGTGAAGACTCTGGACAAGGGGATAAATGGAGTGGATGGGGGACCCGCTTCCCTCTCCCCACTTTAGCGCCCCGGGCTCCCGGGCTCCATCGGCCCCTATGTGCCTGCCCTACGGGAAGGCCACCTCATTACGGGAGCCAGACCGCTAGAGCCGACGGAACTTTTAGTCACCCTCCCAGCTAAAGCAGTAGGTTCCCAGGGGGCAGGAGGGGACCTTACCAGGTGGACCCCACTCAGCTAAGAAGAAAGAACGAGAGGCGAGGACGAGACCCTGCCCTCGCCCCCAGGAGGGAAACGGAAAGATCCGCCACGAGCTGGCCCGGAGCGCGCGCAGTAGGAATCGAGAGAGGGGTCTTGGGGGAGAAGGGGCGCGGAGCCCCGGGCCTGCGATCGCCAGGCCAAGGACGCAGTGGGTACAGCTCTTCCAAAGGTGAGCGATGGGCGGCAGACACCGGTAGGGCGGCTGACACCGGTAGGAAGCTTCGCCTAGGTCTGGCCTCCCCGAAAGGTGGAATTCGTGTTGGCTTACGCATTTTGCACTTTGCCGCCTTACAGTTCAAAGAGGGGAAAAAATAAAGGAAATTTTTAAAAGATGGAAAGCAGGCCCCAGCGAGATTTGAACTCGCGACCCCTGGTTTACAAGACCAGTGCTCTAACCCCTGAGCTATGGAGCCAACTGCCGGTTTCCTTTCTGCGCACAAGTACTTGATGTGAAATCAGTCTCCGTGCAGCTACGTACGGCTTCTTTGTTGACAAGCTAAGGGACTGGAAGTGGGGCCCGCGCTCCTGCGCCCTGAAGGACCCAGCTGGGCCGCAGCAGCTTAGCTTGCGGGGTCTGTACGTGTTGGTGCTGCCAGCGGAGCCTCATCCTGGGAGAGAGGCCCACGGGGAGAAGGCCGCCGTTCCGCTCACGGGCTGAGCCTGCGGGGGCGGGGCGTCCGGTGGGCGGATCTGTGCGGAGGTCCGGGACTTCCGCGCTTCGGCTGAATCGCAGGTGGGAACCCGTCTGGAGCGGGGGTCTGTGGCTTATTGTGTGTGAGGATCCGAGTCAGGGCTTCGAGGGAGGAATTAGGAGAAGGATGTCAATGTGCTTGTCCTAAGGGGAATCCAGACCCGGGGCTGGTAAGGTAGGCTGGCGGTGCGGGAGCAGTTGTGAGGATCAGGAGGAAGAAGCCGAAAGTGCACGGGTGTGAGGAAGTGCTGGGCCAGGGACTTGGTCTGGGCCCGTGGTCCTTAGCCCCTACCGGTCCGTTAAAAAAATGAGGAAAAGTCAACCTTTAGGGTCCACCTTGGGCTCTGGGGAACTTGTTCTGTCACAAGACCCATTGGGTTGAGGGCAGAGAGAGAAGGCGAGAGCTCAGGTGAGGGACAGGAGCCCTTGCTCTGCAATGGTCAGAAAGTGGCAGCCGGAGGTGGTGGGTTTGGTCCCGTTGCCCAACCTGTCCTATGGTCCCTACAAGGCCAGATGACTTAGGTCACTGGATGGCCAGGCCAAAAGCAGGCCCCTAGGGGACACCCAGTCCGACACTCAGGAGCTAGCTGTGTGAGAGGCTAATGGCAAGAACCTGGCTTCTCACCACTCGGCAGCTCACAAGGATCTGGGACTAATGGGTCAGAAGGGCCAAAGTTAAGCCAGTATTTGCTCTCAGAGGCCCAGAGATCTCGGAGACCTCACGATGCCCAAAGGAAGGGAGAGAAAAATGCAGACATGCACACATACTCTCACACCAGCATTGTGACATCCAAAGTCACCATGCTGTCCTGGTGACCAAGAGAGAACATCTCCCTCACCCTCCACATGCAGCTATTATGTAACTTGTTGCAGCTCTTCAGATACACAGCCATCTATGTTCCGGTAGTTCTACAGAGTCTTGCAGACTCACGAACACAAAAGCTTAAAATATACACACAGACAGCCGTGCCTGCTGTCCCCAGACCTGGCCCTACAGGGCCCCCACCAGTCACCCTATCTTCTGTGACCCGTAACCTGTGTTACAGAACTTCAGCACACTTGCTAGAGGACATAAAGAGTAATTGTGATATCCAGCTTAAAAATCATACAATCCCAGGAAACATTAGGGCTTGATGACAACAAAAGGCCATTTAATGAGCAAATAAATGTTAAAATGAGTTTTCCTTGTGGAATTCAGTGGTATTCAAACACTTTGATTAGCTACAGTGTTCTAGAGCTACACTTTGTGTATGAATAGGGCATAGAATTCACCTTCTGGAATGCTGCTGTAGGCTAAACTCTTAAATGGTCTGGTCCCCAGTCTGTAGGACACTGGATTCCGATGGCCTGGCATTGGGTGCACTCGGCCCGCCTCCAGAACAGTGCCATGCCTGCCTTCCAAGAACCCCGTATGCAAAGTGTGCTTGAAGCACCTTAAGGGACAGAGCGCTGAAGCTCCATGACTCTTGCAGGCCAGGCTCCTTGACTGTCACTGTCCCTGCATCTGCATAACAACCTAGGCAGGACAGAATTAGGTCTGAAACTGGCTTTCATCTAGCTGAGCAGCCCATTTATAGTGTTGGAAACCTAAGGCCATCACCTAACTATGGGGTGGCTAATACTTAACCACAAGTCAACGATAGGGTATGACCTAATCACACCAGGTCTGTTTCAACACCTAAACCCTATGCATGTGCCCGTACATGCCCCCTCCAAGATCCACACATCCCTCTGCCCACCCAACCTGATATAAACACATGTGTGCACATGTCTCACACACAGAAGCATACTGGCTCACCTCATCTGGCAGACCGCCCCCTGCTCGTACTTGTGCTCTCGCACTCAGATTGGGGAAGTCAAGAATGAGCTAAGCCACTGTAGAAATGAGCTCACGATCTGTATTTCCATCTCCATCTCCCTTCCTTGGGGAGCACCAAGCAAGGAAGAGCCCACCCTCACAGAAGCCTAGCCTGAAAGAAGCTGCTGAACAATTAGCCAAGGTGATAACAACCGGCAGGGCACGGGCCAAGCTAGCCTTGGCACCAGGGTCCTCTGCTGTTAGCATACATTCGACAAGTTCCGGAAAGAATCCGTCAGGGGCATGTTTGTGCTCGGCATTTTCATGTTTGTGTTAGTTACACCTGTAAAATTATATGCGCTTTCTTGTGTTTCAAAATTCCAGAACCTTTGGTCTCCTTACCCAGAAAGACCACACTTTGAGAGGGATTTAGGTATCTGTGGGAACACATGGCTGTCACTGTGACTGAGGATGGACATATCACTATGTGTCATCAGTTTAGGGGTATTAGAGGGTGGCCATGCCTACAGACTGTAGTCTGGGGCTCTTCCCTCATGCACAGTTCAAGGCCCAACTCTGCCCCAGACTGTCCTCAGAGCTGGGAGGCTCCTCCCTGAGTGGACAAGTTGGTCGGGCCAGCTGGATTCAAGTCTCTGAAGGCAGAGCTGGCAGCTGACAAGAAGGCAAAACAGAAGTGATCATGATCATACTTGGCCTGGCCCCAAACATTGCCATTGGAACTGAGACAGCACAGGACCAGGGTCTGGTGAGCCAGAGGCCTTGCTGAAGTCTGGGCAGTAAGCCCCAGTGAAAGAAACCACCCCTGTCAACATCGGGACTCCAGTGCTCATAGGCCTCCACCTCCTCACAGCTGGTACCAAAACTACATGCCAGAAGCAACAGGTAGGGGACAGGCCTGAAGATCCAAAGCATCCCTTCCTCTGCTCAGCTGAGCACAGGGTTTCTTTCCCACCTTGCACAGTCTCATGCCTCTGGGGCTGGGTCTCCAGAAGCCTCTCTAAGGCAGCCTGTGGCAGAAGAGGGAAGGGCAGACCCAAGGTGACCAGGCAGCTCCGGTGGAAAATAGCATCCCTTCCCATGGGCAGCCAGGAGAATGCGTTCACCCTTGACTGACTGCCCCTTCTCTGGGAGGCCAGCAATGTCCCTCAAGGCCAGATTCGCAGGTAGGTACCAGTGGAGCAGACAGAGAAAAGGGGGAACACGCGCTCTTGGAACTTGACACGAAAGGTGTAGAGGTGGCGCATGTCCTCAGTGGCGTAGAAGGACACGGCCCCCACCTCCAGGTCCAGTGCCACCCTCACGCGGGACAGGTGGCCGCAGCTGAGGGGTGTCCGCTCAGGGCTGGTCACAGCCCAGTACTGCCCGCCATTGAGCTGCAGCGCCCAGACGCCCTCCTCGGGAGTGAAGGGCGTGAGGCCCTTGCGGCGCACGCTCTCGCGGGCCACGCCGAAGGCCCAGCCATCCTGGGAGCCCACTTCCACCTCCCAGTGGTGCCGCCCAGAGGAGAAGCCGCAAGATGCCAGGACACGGGTGTTGGTATCAAAGCGACGCGGGTGGCTGGGCAGGTCCTGGGCTCGTTGTCCGAGGCGCACGCTCTTAAGATCCAGGGAGAGGATGAGGCGGGGATTGGCAGTGTCAGGATCCAAGGTCAACTCCACTGAAGCGGGGGAGACAGGGAGAGATGGCCCATGCAGGCCCGTTGCACAGCCACCACTCCTTATTCCCACCCGCCCCCAACATGTACACGCTGAAATCAAACAGATGCAATATATGGACCTGGATTGAATCCTCGTTCAAACACAGGGGCAAATCCAATGGAAAAGACAATTGAGGGATGTCAAACACTTAGGTACTAAAAAGAATCATCAGGTTTTTTCTAATTATGATGGTTTTGTGGTTGTTTTTTTATAAAGTCTATCTCTTTAGAGATCAAATACTGAAATATTTATGGAAATGATATCTGTGATTTGCTTCAAAATAATCCAGTGGGAAGAAATGAGTAGGCGAGTGAAGATTGCTGAGGGTGTATGATGAGTACGTAATATTTGTTATGCTTGTCTCTCCACTTCAGTGTATGTTTGAAGTTTTCCACACTAAACAGCTCAAATAAGCACCCGTAAGCACCACAGTGTTCCAGGCCTATGCCAGGCCCCTGGAGGCCCAGCCCCCCTGCAGCTTCCTTTGACAGGGGAGGGGAGGATAGAATATAGGTGATTTTTTAAAAAGAGAAGATGATAAGAGGTGATCAGAACAGCAGGCTGTGATTTCAACTAGAAGGCCCAGGGAAGGCCTCGCCGAATAGGTGCATTTAATCAGACATGCAGAAGGCGAAGAAGCCAGATAGGTGCTGTCTGGTGAAGCATGTTCCAGGCCCAGGCGAGTGTGTGCTAGGTACATTCCAGGAGCAGCAGAGTGCATGGGGGTGGGAGGGCATGGGATGCAGTGAGGCCAGACCCCCTGGGGCCTGGAAGATCACTGGGAGAACCGGCCACAGCCTTTGCTGAGTGAGAGGGCCTGGGGCAGGGTTGGGGGGGGCGGGTAGTCTTACCCAGCTGGTTTAGATCCCACCCAAGAAAAGTCTGATTTAGGCCTCCCTGTGGGATTGGGTCCCACTCACCCCAGAGCTCTGCGGGGGTGAGAACTACCCCCTGCCTGGTCCTCAGATTCCTCCAGTTTCCCGTCAGCCCTCCCGTGCACACAGCCCCAGTCCCCAGAAGAGGTCTCAATGAGAGGTCTCAGTTGAGAGTGAGGGCAGGGGAGAGAGGCCCACAAGCCTTCCCCAATCTAAGTATCCTGAGCCACAGGGCACTCCTGCTGTGGACCATAAGTCTCCAGGCCCCACTGTGGCCTGAGGGGGTCAGCACTGTGAAGTAAGGATACAGGGAAAGGGGGTAGAGGGCAGAGTTGCCCGGGTGGGCGGGCAGCAGGAAGCGACCACACACAAAGCCCAGAGACACAGTCACCAGCAGGGAGGGAATTCCCTACATGGCCAACAACAGGCTCGCTCTCTCTATCAGCGCAATCATCGTACCTTTCTCCTCTTTCTCCAACTCTTCTCGAAGATCCTCTGAGGAAGAGAAACAAAGCAGGGTGTGCGTGGATGACACAGGACATTGTCTGTTTGGCCATGACAGGGACACCACCTCCTCTGACACATTCATGGCCCCGGTGGCTCACTTACCACCCCAGACAGGCCAGGGGCACTGGGCCCGGTGTGGGGGTGGGAGAGGCACTATTCTGGTTTTCCCTGTCCAGCTTTGCCCTCTTTCACCTGGTGCTGGTCTGAGTTGAGATCTCCTTCCTCACCCCTCTTTCTGTCCCCAGTGCCCCTCTATCCTGTCCAGGGCAGGGAGCTTCATGCCCTGGGGGCATCTGAATAAATCAGCCACCACACACCCCAGCTCTAGTCTTCTCACACAGCTTCTGGAAAGGCACATCTTTGGACCCTTGGACCCCAAATCACCAGAGCCACACCACTGCCACGGGCATCTCATGACACAGCCCCCCACACATGGGCCCTACCTTTGAACTTCTTGAGCAGCCCCTTTAAGACAAAGGTCTTGAGGGAAACATTCCAGACTTTATTCTTCATCTCAGAAGAGACTGTGCTTGGCTTGGGGGCAGGCACATTGCTGCACCTGCAGGACAAGGAGGAAGGCCCACCGACACTGTCCCACTGCCACAGTTAGGACAACAGGGTCCTCTTGATGGGGAGAGGTAGGAAGAGGAGAGCCTGATCTCACGCCCATAACCACGACCAGGCAGATGGACGGGATGGCTGCCTCAGAAGGTACCAGGTAGGGCAGTGGGGAATCAGAAGGTGAGAAGCTGGGTGCGGCGAATGAAGAGAGCACACAGTGGGGAAAAAAGAAAGAACCAGCTTAGAGGAGACCAAGGAACTGCTAGGGTCCACTCACCTGCTTAGCGTGTTTTTGAATTCCTGAAAAGAAAGATGAAAGCAAACCTAGTCAACACCTTTGAAAAAAATACTACTGCTCCCTGCCCTGCTTCCAGAGGAACAGCAATAAATAAGCAGGTATCCCGGCTTATCCGTTGCCTGCGTGAGCCCTGGTGCCAAGGTCTTCCCACTGCGGTGGCAGCTGGACATCTCAACGTGGTGGACCCCTCCCTGCCCACAGTCTGCAAATGCTCCTGTCACTACAGAATCATCCCTGGAGCCACATGCTGGGGCCCAGCGTTGTCTCTGCTCTCCATGCTGCGCAGACAAGTTACAGACTTTACGCAGCAACTGCTCATTCCTACCAGTGTCTTTTAAATGACTGTTCTTGACCCATTTGTGACTGTAGATTGTAACTGTTTTTTAGATGAAATAGAATAGAAAATATCAAAGTGCATCACATTAGTAAAGGTGATACTTTCTAAGACTTTTATCTCAAGTATGTATACACTGAAATATGATGTAAGATATATTATTGTTATTCATGGCTAGGAAAGTTTTATCATAGCCCTTTAGACCTCTAACCCCAGGAGAATCAGGGCATCTCTCTCCAGTCCTTCTTGGCTCCAGATTTTGTGAGTCCACTAAATTCTCAGGATCTGACTCTGTTCTCACTGCCTTCACAACACCTTAGGACAGAGACTCGAAATCCTGGGTAGCCAGACTCACCTGGAGAAAGTCCAGGTCAGGCTTATGAGCTGTGTCCTGGATCTGGCTGCTGAGCTTGGATAGCTGAGTGATCTCACTCCCAAGCTGGGCCAGGTTCTCATTCTGCTTCTGTGTCACCTCGCGGGACAGCTCCTCCAGGCGGCCCAGGAGTCGGCCCTCCTGCTCCACCAGGAAGGCCCGTAGTGCCTGAAACTCTGCCCCCACCTTCTCTCGCTCAGCAGCCATCTGCTTCTGTCTCAGGAGAGAAGAAGTTAGAGGGGTAAGGGGACATGGGCATCAAGACTTGGCACTTGGACAGGAGCCTGGAGTCATTCCACAGGGCAGGGCTTCATCCACCACACTGCTCAGAGGTCACAGGGTCACCCAAATGGGCACACCCTGCACAGGCTGTAATTTAAATATTCCAACTCTGAGCTCCCCACCGCTTCAACACATGTTCTTGCTTCCCTGGTCACAGATGTGTACACATGTTCCTTTGTACCTGGGCTTTCCCACCAATGTAGGGCAACTTTAAACTCGCCTGAGAACTACTCAGGGCAATCGTTTCCTCATTTGAAAAGTAGGAGGAATGACTTTTAGTGCCTCCTGGGGCCACTATAAAGATTAAACTGAGGTCATTCTCTCTTCCCCAAACACATTTATTATGTGTTAAATTCAAGAAAACATTATCAAAATGGAGTCACTTATGCCAAGACCCACATCACCAGACTTCATTATAGTTTCCGCTCTCCCAGAAATGGAATATTAAACCAGCCAATCAGGAATTGCCTTTGTTCGGTAACCTGCAATTCCCTAAAGGGAAAGTAACCTTGCAATAACCAATCCAGGATTTTTTGCAATTTCCAGGATTTTTTGCAATTTCCTTGTTCCTGCTTCCTCTGCTTATAAAATCTCTTGCTTTACACAGCTCTTTAGGGATCCTTTCTATCTGCCCACGCTGTGCAAGTCCCTCTGGATCATGGCTGGACGGAGCCACGTGCTTAACCCTTTCTCTAGGAGGGCAGGGTGGAAGTCTCTAGGGGAGTGTTCAGCTCTTCCATGGGGAGGGAAGTGAATGATCAGCTGTACATTGGAAGCAGGTGCGCCAGGTGCAGTTGAGGGTCAGGAAAGGAACGCCTAAACTCAGGGTTTTCCCCTCCGTCCCACCCTCTCTCAATCTCGAGGACAGAAGGGTCCTCAAGTTCCTGCAATCCCCAACTCCAGAACTGACTGGCTCTGTCCTAACACACCCTAGTAGATCCTTTCACTCTTTTAACACCTATTTGTGGAGCTAAGAACTGAATTTGCGGGGTAGAAAATTACCGTCCGTGATCCACGTTGCCCGTCTTAATCAAAATGAGCCCCATTTCACTCCTGTGATCCAACGTAGACAAAGTAGCATCCCCACCCACCAGGGGGCGCTGAGCACACCCGGCTACACGGGGTGGGGGGGTGGGGGGGCTTCGGGAAACCAGTCGTCAGACCTCCTGTCCTCAGCAGCTATGACACCCATTAAGCTCCCTTACCCTTGGCTCAATTTCAAAACCTAAAAAACTCTAAAAATGAAAAAAAGTTTTTTCATAACATTTTGGTGACAAAAATGCCCTGGGCTAACATGAGGCTATTTACTGTAACTATGTTTTCACTTGCATTCAATTACAAGAGGCTCCAAGGCCCTAATTGGGGTGTCATGTAATGTTGAAATGATTGCCTATACAGATTCACTGGGATAGTTCCAGTTTCAGCCAGCTGTTGTAGAAGGATTATTTTAGCACTTCCATTTACTTTCAACAGTTCTGTTTTTTTGCCCTGGCTGGTGTCACTCAGTGGGTTGAGAGAGAGCCTGACCACAAACCAAAAGGTTGCCAGTTTGATTCCCAGTCAGGACAGGCGCCTCAGTTGTGGGCCAGGTCCCTAGTTGGGGGCATGTGAGGAGCAACCAGTCTATGTTCCTCTCACACATCAATGTTTCTCTCCCTCTCTTTCTACCTCCATCTCTAAAAATATAGTCTTTTTAAAAAAAAAGCTCTGGTTTTATAATAAAGGATACATTCACCCTTTATACTATGCATCCTATTATCTTTCTAAAATCCCTCCCTGCTATTCCGCAGGCACACACTCCTGTACCGCACACTGAGACCGTGCCAGGGGGGTGGGTGGCCCTCAGTTGGGGGTGGTGTGGCAGCTCACCAGGAGCTCCTTGCCCTCCTTCTCTTCCGTGGAACGAAACATCTCATAGTCCTCCAGATCACTCTTCAAGACCTTCAGCCTGGACTCCAGGAGCTCCTGCCAGAGGGTGAGAAGGGAGATACTGTTGGAAGAGGATTCTGGAAACCCCAGTGACTTCCAGGAGCCAGGAGCAAGGGGAGGCCCTGCACATCAAGGAGACCAGGTCGAAGCCATCTCTGGACAGGATGGGAACAGCCTGCGCGGACTTCAAATAAGGGGACAGGACAACTTCAGGGCAACGCCAAAAGCCCAAGGGTCTCACTTCCCCGAGACCACCAGTGCTCCTCCCACTCCCTGCAGCCCAATGTAGCTTGTCTTCACCATCAGATATCCCTCTGTGTGGAAGGATTGGAGCAGTGTGGGGAGCAAAGAAAGACTGGACTGTGTGTAGAGGCCTCTACACACACCTCAGCTGAGGCCCCAGCAAGGAGGCAGGAAAAACAGAAGCCTAGGGTCAACAAACAGCTTTGACACAGCCCAGACGGCTCTCTCCTTGCTCTCCTCAACCCTGGAACCACCCACACTTCCCCGACCTCCTGGGAAGGTCGTCCGGCTCTGGACAAGAGCTGAGAGTTGAGGCAGCGGACATGTGGGTTTGTCCAAGTCGCCGCTAGGGGACGGAGACGGACAGGAAGAAAATCGTCAAGCCTGCCGGTCATCGCCCAGGCTGTCCAGTCTAGAGGGGGATTCGGGGGTATTGGTGGTGTGGGGGTGACAGAGAGACAACCACACTCAGCCCCAGGGCCAGTGCTGAGCTAGAGAAAGAGGCAGGGGCTCCCCCGAGTTTGCGGGTCCTCTGCAGGGCGTGCGCGGAAAGGCAGGCGGGGTGGCGGGGACCGGCGGGAGTGGGGCTGGCGCTCACCTTAGCCTCCTGCACAGCCTCGCCAAGCGGTATCACCGCGTGCTCACGGTGCTCGCGGGCGCGGTCGCACACCACGCAGATGGCGCGTCCGTCGTCCTGGCAGAAGAGCTTGAGCGGCTCGCCGTGCTGCGCGCACCCAGTCGCCGCGGCCGCGGCCGCCGCCTCCGGGGACCCGCGCTCGCCCGGAGCAGCGGAGGGCAGGCTGAAGCGCCGCAGCAGCGCGGCCACCGCGGCCAGCTGCCGGTTGGGCCGCAGCTGACTTGGGCGCGCGGGCTCGCGGCACTGCGGGCAGGGGAGCGGGTACGGCAGCAAGCGGGGCACGGCGGCGGACCCCGCGCCTGGGCGCTCCCAGCAGCGCGCGATGCAGGAGCGGCAGAAGCTGTGGCCGCACTCGACGGACACGGGCTCTCGGAAGAGCTCCAGGCAGATGGAACACGTCGCCTCGCCCTGCAGCTCCGCCGCCAGTGCCAAGGCCTCGGCCCCAGAGCCCGGGCCAGTCCGCGGCCCCACCGCCGCCATGCGCGCGCTCGGCGCACCGAAGTCTGTTGGCCCGGGGGAGGCCAGGGACGTGACAGCGCGCCGCAGGGAGCGCTGCGGCCGGGGCGGGCCTCTGGGCTCCCTCGGGAAGGAAGGGCGCGGCTGACAACACGGGCGGGCGGAGACTGGCACTGAGGGCGCGCCGGGCTGGGAAACCCGCCGGGTAGGTGCGCGTGGAGGGCGTGCCAGGAGGCGCAGCCAGTGGATCCCAATGAGGCCCAGCGCTCTGAACCCGGCTTCTGGACCCCTCAATCCCCGGCCCTGGCCCGCGGCGCCCTCTCTCCGTCGCCCCCTCGCTCGGCCCCTCCGCGGGCCCGTCCAGGCCGCCCTGGCCTGACCCAGTCAGCTGCTGTGGGTAATGGGCCGGGACAGGTGGGCACACATGCCCAGCTGGGCGCCACTCCCGACTGCTGCCTGAGGCCGACCCAGCACCGAGTAAGGGGCTGGCGTCCCGCCCACAGTATCAGGTTGCTGGCCTGCGGGCTTGTCCCAGCTCTGTGCCCAGCTAAATTTGGAGTCTGGACCCTGGCTCTTGCCCCCCACCCCCTCCCAAGCGTGGCCTTCTATCCACCTCTGTAGCTACCTTTCCAGCGATAACCTCCTCCCCCTTATTTATTCTTGAATTGCTTTTTTAAAACAAATAACACATTTACAATAAAATTTCCCAGTTTACTCAGTGTTATTCCTCCGCTGTCAAATAAAACCCAGTCCTCTATGTTCCTCCAGCTTATCCCCTCAGCCCCACTCCAAAGCTGCTAGTATTATTTGCTTCCATCCCCTCTGTCCTTATGCCCTCCAGAGATCACTGGGGTCAAGCTTTCGCCCTCACCTTCGCAGAAAACAGCACCTCAAAAATGCTGTTTTTGAAGTCACCAGCGACCTCAGCGATCCTAACCCAAAGGCCCCTTCTGAGGCCTCAGCTCACCGGCCACCTCTTCCGTCACTTCCTCCTTCCTAACACCCTTTCTCAGCGCCTTCCAGGCATTTCCCCCCAAGCTCCATGGCCTGCTACTGATAGGGGTCTCAAGAGTTGGAAAATTTTAGTTTAAGGCAAGAAGTTATAAGCCTAGTAAGTAATGTATATGGCTAAAGCTTTTGTTTCAGAAACTACAGATGAGGCCTATCCTAGCTCCTGGGAAAACAGCTGACATCCTGGGACACCGCTGAAGACCACTGCCTGGGGACGAGTGGAGGCATCCAGGCCACTGTGCTCCGGGGAGAGACCAAAGACCACCGGTGCCTGGGAACAGCTAACTGCCCAGGACAGGAATGTTGCCGTTTCTTTCATCTAATCCTCCCTGAACTTCAAAACCCCATCACTGCCCCTTCTTTATTCCTTGTTATGAAAACATTGGCCTGAAAGGAAAAGAGAAGATGGTCTGTTAGGGTATGAACCGGCCATCTTCTCAGATCATGGCCATCTGAATAAAACGCCCATATAGGTTCATCACTGTCATTGCTTATTGGGTTTGGTAGTGACAGGCAGCCCGAACGCCGGTGTCGTTTGCGGTTTCACTACCTTCATCTCTTCTCCCCACCAGGCTCAGTCCTTGGACCTCTGTCTATACTCAGTCCCTTTTGATCTCTTCCACTTTACAGGCCTGGATGACCCCTTCCCTGCTGGCACCACAATACACAACCCCAGCCCAGGAGCTTTAGGATGTCTGGCTTCTACATCCAACTGCGGTGTAGCAGCTCCATCTGCATGTTCTAAGGGGCACCACACACTCACTGTGTCCACAACTCTACTTCTGGTCTGCCCCACCACGTGTCCCTCCCACAGCCTTCCCCACTCCACTCCATTTAACAGCAACTCCATCCCTCCAGGTGCTCAGGACAAAATCAGGGAGTCTGTGGAGGACGGGGAAGGCTGGCGTCAAAGCACAGGCTAAGTGTCTGGCAAAGCCACACTTGCCTGCTTGCATCTGCAAAGCCGAGCAAGCCAGCAGCTGACGGCAGCCGGAACCCGTGGGGGTTGAGAAGGAATTAGATAACCGCGAACTTCAGCTGAATGCAACTGTAACCTTCGCAGAAGACATCTTTATCATTTAGATAGCCCGGGAACAGAACAATCTTTGCCCGCAGCATGTCCCTAAGTCTGTAAAACGTCCTTGAGCTTTATGTAACCAACCAACCTCTATAAAATAAACGTGGAGACCACGTTCAGGGTCATTGTCTCTCTATCAGAGGATGATGCCCCACCTGGCCCCCACTTTTCCTTAAACTGTGTTATGTCTTTCTTAATCTCCCCCATTTGGGGACCTCCACCCCGCGCCGGTCGGGGTAGGAGTCCTCTGTGACTCCAAGAGAAACCCCCCCCCCCCATCGGCGGTCTTCAGCAGGTCCTCAGCCTCTCACTCCCTCCATTGCATGATTTCCAGTGAGCAACAGAATCTCCCCTTCTGTCCCACTCCCCCTCCCTGTTTTCTCCACTCAGGTGTGTGAGCAGTTCTGCTAAAATATTATTTTTAAGTCAAATCATGGCCCTTCTCTGCCCCAACCCACCAGTGGCTCCCACCTTTTTCAGAGGGAAAGTCGCAGTCTTTGCTGTTGTGTACATTTCTATCCTGTTCTTCATCCCCATTCCTGGTACTAGGCCTCCCCTCCGCACTCATCTCTCTTCGCTCCGGCCTATGGCTTCGCTTCCTTCCTGCCAAAGGCACCTCGTTAATGTTCCTGCAACACATCAGAGCTCCTACCTCGGGGCCTTTGAACTGGCTGTTCCTTTTACTTGAACCTCTCTCCTCCCAGAAATGTGCGTGACTCATTTCCCACCCCCTTCGAGTCTTCTTTCAAACGCCCCCTTTCTCAGTGAAATCTGTTTGCAGTCACGCCTCGCCACGTTCCCTGGCCCAGCGCTGGCTCCGGCCTTCCTCCGGCACCGAGCACCGGAGGGGACGGACTATGGGAGTTCAGTTCACCGCTGGACCACCGTTTTCTCGTGCAGTTCTGGGTGCCCAGCAGGCGCTCTGTAAACTTTTCGTGGATTGAATTCATTTGGACATGACTCAAAATTCAGACAGACAGTGGTTTACACTGAACAGGGCCTGCCGCCTAAACCCCAGTCTCCTCCCCATCCCAAGCAATTACGAATTCTTTTATACAAATACATATTTTACTACACGTCTCCCTCTTTTTGTTTTATGGACGTAGCATCCTGCGTATGGTCTTCTTTACTTTTCTTTCTCGGCTCACAGTTCATTTGAGGCATCGCGTCAAGTGACTTTCCCTCTATTCCCACCGCCGCCTCCAGGTGTTTATACCGGCCTCGTTTTCTCCTCGGCGTCCTTCCACTGAAGTCGCGCCCCTGTAGTTATTTAGTAGAAGACCCTGGAAACCTTCGCGACACTGTCCCCTTAGGTTCGCAGCCGGGACGTCAGGCCCTTAGGGAGCCATCAGCCCACAGGTGCCGGGCGATGGGAAACTTCTAGGGAAGCAGAGAAGCTTTAGGGCTCGCGGGGAGGGGATGTAGCTCAGTGGTAGAGCGCATGCTTTGCATGTATGAGGCCCCGGGTTCGATCCCCGGCATCTCCAATAGTTTTTCCGGATATTTTTAGTTCTTTTCCTATTTCCGAAACGCACCGTACTCCCACAGCCCCGGGGAAAAACCCAGATCGTGGAGGTCAAAAAGGAAATTATTTATTGAATGCCCTGGTGTGATATTAGTTAATAAAATTTAATAGGTTTAAGGTGTACAACTCTATAATGCATCTTCCGTATATTGTATTGTGTGCTCCCCGCCCCCGGATCGCGGCGTTCTGCCCACCTCGGAGGGGTCGGCTGCGGCCCTCGCTCACTCCCATTACCTGACTCTGCCTTTTTAGATTAAAAATTCACAGGGCGAGCGCTCCGGAGGCTGCGGGACGCGCATGTGTCCTCTTCACCCCGCGCGCTTCCCGCGGAGAGTAAAGGGCTGGGTCGCTGGCGATGGACAAGGAACAGAAAACTGGTGGGAGTGGGAGGGGTGACCTGGTACGATCCTCAGAGTTTAAGTTTCCGGTCTTGAACTTGAAACACCGAGCTGAACGCCAGCTGAATGGCATCATCGAGTTAATACTTGTTAGTGACAGTTAAAAACGGACTCCCAGCGGCGCCCGGCTAGCTCAGTCGGTAGAGCATGAGACTCTTAATCTCAGGGTCGTGGGTTCGAGCCCCACGTTGGGCGGAAGAGTAACTTTTACTCCTAAACACTTGTTGCCTGATCGACCAATCTCTGAAAAATAAATAATAGTGAAGATTTCCTTTGTGCAATACTTTGTCTGGTCTTTTAGTGGCAAAACTCTTATTCGTTGAACAAAACGAGTATTAAGAAGCATAAAACATGCAGAACAAAATTTACCACTTTAACCATTTTTAAGTATACAGTTCTGCAGCTTTAAACACATTTATGTTCCTGGCTAACCCTCACCACAATCCTCTCAAAATTTTTTATAACTTCCCCAACTGAAACTCTGGATCCAGTAAACAATTACTTCCCACTCATTCCTTCTTCCCCTAGCCCCTGGCATTCCACTTTCTGTCTCTATGAATTTTACTACTCTAGGTGTCTCATATAAGACAAATCACACAATATTTGTCCTTTTGTGACTGGCTTATTTCACTTAGGATGATAATGCCTACAAGGTTCACTCATGCTGTAGCATGTGTCAAATTTTCCTTTCTTTCAAAGCTGATAATAATCCATTGCATGTGTGTACCATATTTTGTTTATCCACTCATGTACCTATAGATACCTGGGCTTCTTCCACATTTTGGCTATTGTGAAAAATGCTGCTGTGAACTTGGCTGTACAAATATACACTCGAGTACCTACTTTCACTTATTTTGGGAATATACTAGGAGTGGAATTTCTGAATATGCTATGTCTGGGTTTAATATTCTTTGAGGAATCTGCATACCACTTTCCACAGAGGCTGCACACCAAAGAAGGTTTTTAAAACATCTTTTGAGTAGGTGATACACTGATACTGTTCAAAAATTGAACTACCTATAAATATATTCAAT